TTTTTTTTTTTTTTTTTGACAGGTAGAGTTATAGACAGTGAGAGAGAGAGACAGAGAGAAAGGTCCTCCTTCCATTGGCTCACCCCCGAAATGGTCACTACAGCCGGTGCGCTGCGCCAATCCGAAGCCAGGAGCCAAGTGCTTCTCCTGGTCTCCCATGTGGGTGCAGGGCCCAAGCACTTGGGCCATCCTCCACTGTCTTCCCGGGCCACAGCAGAGAGCTGGACTGGAAGAGGAGCAACCGGGACCAGAACCTGTCGCGCATATGGGATGTCGGCACCGCAGGTAGAGGATTAACCAAATGAGCCACAGCGCCGGCCCCTGAAATGCTCCTTATTGATCAAGGTCGGGGTCCCTCCAGGGTCTGCTGGTCCCCCGCCACCCCCAGGCTGGGCAACGCCACTGTGCAGAAATCAGCAGGGAGCACACATCCACAGGATGAAGCTGCTCCCACTGACAAAATGCAGTTCTTCAGAAAATTGGTTAAAGCAGGCCAGCACAGCTCAAGTCCTCCCGGCAATGGCAAACACATCCTGGAGGGCCTTTCCCCTGCCTGGGACGGGGAGGGAGACCGCGGCGGCACAGGAGCACGCCTGGGGCCTTCTGGAATTCGGCTTGGCTCTGGCTGATTTAGTTATTAAACAGAGGTCACGCAAGAGCCTGGGTCCTCCATGCACCACAGTCCTGCCCACACACCCTGATGAGCTCAGGCTGCAGAAGTGTGTGGAACAGCCCTGTCTCTAACTTAACTGCTGGCAATGATTAGCCTGGTCATGGGCACCCAAGCTGAACCCTTAACAGGGACAACATGACCAGGCAGGAAAAAATGAGCTATGCTTCTGGGAGGTTGCAAGATGTGCCCCCCCCCCCCCAACACAGGCATTCACGCCCAGCCTGGGGGTGGGGCGCCTCAGACAGGTTCCGGAAGCCACAGCCAGGACTGTTGTCATCACGCTCAGAGCCTCACACATGGTGGCTTTTTCTCTTCCTCCCAGCTTTCTTGAGATGCAATTCGGACCCTGAAAAAGGCCCCGGGAGAGTTGCCGGGCTCTGCACTGATGCGTGCGCAGAGCAGTGTTGTACCCTCGGGTCCTCAGCCCAGGCGCTGGCACCGACAGATCCGTCTGTCTGTACCAAGTTCCCTGTTCGGGACGTCATGCGGCTGGAGTCCTGCCTCTGTGGCCGCCTGTGACTGCCTTCTCTCGCTGTCCGGCCCAGTCCTGTCGCCACAGGCGTCCATCCCTCGTTCCTTCCCGTGGCCACCGCAGGGACAGCACACGCTGTGCTCATCACCCACGGGGCAGCAGCTGGACATGGGTGTCGTCCGCCCAGCTCAGCTACCGTGACGGTGCAGCCACGCAGGCCTGTGGCTGCGCTTTCGCGTGGACGCCTGTTTTCCCTCCTGTGAGCGCGGTTCTGATAGCCGCAGTGAACTTTCCTACACCCCAAACCCGAGACCTAAAATGTCCCCGAATCCAAAACTTTCTGAGCACCAACACAGCACGTGGGAAAATCCAACAGCTGACCTCACATGCTGGGCCGCAGTCCACACACGGGTGCACCAAGGAGACTATGAGATGGCGGCCAGGCTCCGTGCACCAGGCGCGCACGCCCCCTGGACGCGGGTCCTGTGCAGATGCTCCCCGCCCCAGGCGGTCTCAGGATGCAGCCGCAAATATTCCGCAGTCTGAAACCCCAGACACTGCTGATTCCGGATATTTTGCATAAAGGATATTCAACTTGTTCAGAGGGGCAATGGGGCAAAGTAGCAGAGATGGGGTTGGGGGCAGGGAAGACAGGCAGGGTCGGGGGACCCTGAGTATCCCAGACTCAAAGTTCACAGAGACACACAGAGTCCCACGGAGATGCCGTGGAACGAGACGGAACACAGGCCACACAGATGCCCATCGGAACGAGACGGAACACAGGCCACGCAAAGAGAAGCACTGACACAGATGGACACAAACAGGGACAGACAGCAGGAGCCAGGGACACAGCACCCACGGGCAGGTGCCCCCCACCCCCACAAGCCCCTCTCCTGGGACTGCAGGCTCTCCCCGCCCCTACAGATCTGGGGTCAGCCCACCGGGCAGCGCTCCCTCCACAGGGTCCTGCCAACAGGGCAGGGACAGCCCTGCGGTCAGAATCTTCGGGAAGCGAGGGTAAGGGTGACTCGGAAGCTCACTCCTGCTGACTCCAAAGTTCCGTGAAATTCACTTAAGTCCACCAGCCCCCCCACCCCCCGTCAGCTGAGGCTGTGAACAGGCCTGGAAGAGGCACAGGGTGTGGGGGAAAGCGGCAGAGCTCCCTGGGCAGGGCCAGGCAGACCCAGGGACAAACCTCAGCGTGGCCACTCGTCGGCTGTGTGATCTGACCCCCCGAGCCTCGGCTTCCTCACCTGGAAGGTGAGGAGGGAAACAAGACCAACCCGAAGGCGGCTGCCGGGAGAACTGCATGGGACGGACGCCGTGACGCAGGCAGGACACAGAGCAGGCCAGCAGGTGCACAGCAAGCTGGCTCCTCTCCCCCTCCCCCGGGCATCTGTCGCTATATCCTGTATCATCCACCTCTCCGCCTGTCTTCCTTTATTTCCCTCCCTCCCTCCCTCCTTCCCGCCTCCTTTCCTTTCTAAGTTTCTGCTTTTCACTTGGCACTCGCTCTTGAAGACCCAGATGCTGGGAATGTCGCACCCTCTGGGCCCACAGAGCTCACTCAGGCTGGGTGGCATGGAGGGAGGTGCTGGTGAGGAGGGAACAAGGCACCCACCTTCTCACATCTCTGCCAAGGCCAGCACGCCCACCCCTAGGTATTGTCTTAAAAGCAGACAATGAAATGGAAACAGACTTACACTCAAATGCCGATGGCAGCCTTGATCTCAGGAGCCAGACCCTGAAAACAGCCCCGTGCACCCGGCAGCCGGCCCTCTGTGGAGCACGGGCAGCTTGGACAGTCCCCACGGCGGCCACCTCGGAGCTTTAAACAGGGACAAGTCGTGGACACTCAGGGCCCAACACACACATCTCAGAGCTAGGAGGCCCAGGGCTCCGTGTGCACAGAACAGCAAACTCCACGCAGGGTGATGACATCACAGCCATGGCTGCCTCTGGAGGTGCCTGTGTGCATGTGTGTGTGTCCATGCACGCATGTGTCTGTATGTGTGCATGTGTGTCTGCAAGCATGCGTGTCCATGCACACGTGTGTGCATACATGTGTCTGCATGTATGTGTGACCGCATGTGTGCATGTGTGTGCGTGCATGTGTGTGCAGCTGCGAGGGGGGAGAGGCCGCTGATGTGCACAATGGGGCCCTGGAGAACTTTCTGAGCTGATGACGATGTTGACTACAAGGCTGTGTGCATTCTTCACGCCTCATCACACCGCGCACTTCCCACCTGTGTATTTCACTGTGCACACATGAGCCCTGAACGCAGGAGCCTGGTGGGAATCCAGACCCGCCAGAGGCTCGGGTGCAGCACACTGGGCCGCCGGGCGGGGCACGGGCACCCACCGCGCCTCGCAAGTCGACACGCAGGCGTCACTCACAGTGAGAGCCTCCTCGTCCCGGGGCGCCGCCTGGGCTTCCCTCCTTCTCCTCCGCAACGGGGAGCCGGATTCCGAGGGCGTCCGTGTGTCGCACTCCAAACTCCTGAGCAGACTCTGAGCGTCGTCTTTCTAAAGCCCAAAGGTGGAGAAGAAGCGGAGAAGTGGATTCAAGCAGCCGCGCCCGGCCCATCGGGCTGTCCACTCCCACTCCCAGCAGCCACTTCTGCTCGCCTGTGGCACCGCCCACCTCCTCCACCCCATCCCTTTCCCCCTGGGGTCCACGCACATCCTTCCAGACCACCCAGTCCCCGGGCCCCAGCTCAGCATGCCCCAAGGCCTGGAGCCACGATCGCCCCATTTTCTTTTCGGGTCACTTTGGGCGTGAGCGGCTCGGGGCTCACAGCTTTTCCCAGAGGTGTGTGGACTGACTTTCCCGTGGACTGACCACGAGGACTAACTTCTCTGTGGCTGTCAACAACGGCCCTGGATGATTCTTAAGGAAATTGCTTAGCCTTCAAACCCCAAAGCGACTTCTCTTGGGAGCCTAAATTGATGAGCATGCGTGGGTTCTATGTTTCCCAAAATACCTCCGTGCTGAAGCCAGTCCCGGCCAAGATCCAGACTCGGGCGCTGCCACGGTCCTTCGTGGACCCATGCAGCGCAGGAAGTCCGAGCTGCCCGACACGCACGCCCTCGGCCGAGGCTGAAGCAGCAGGGCCCTCCCGCCCTGCCTCGGCTCCCGAGCCGTGAATGGGTGCCCTGGGCCTCGGGACTCTGCGGTGGAGCTGGCGTGCTGTGTGGCATCCCCAGCACAGGCGCCTGGGATACCTTTTATTTTATTTTATTTGCCTTACAGAGCGAATGTGTGTCTGAGAAGCTCAGCCAGGCGTGAGCTCTGGTGCTGTCGTCTGTGAGCTCTGTGGCAGTCTCTGCTACACACGGTGTTTCGGGACAGAAACAAATAACGTTCCTGACAATCGGCTACAAAAACAACACGGCTCTGGGTGCCACGGTGTCCTCAGTGGGTCAGACGAAGGAGAACCGTGTGCATTTAGCAGTGGGCTGTGTCGGAGACACCATCAGCTCCCCCTCTGGCCACCAGTGGCTCCCCGACAGAATCTGCAGAAATGCCAGTTGGCAGCTGTCGCTGAGCACCTGCTATGCGCCAAGCCTTGCCCTGGGCACTGGGAGCAGAGCAAGGCACACAACGCCCAAAGCTGCTGCCTGCAGAGTTCATGTTCTAGCGAGAGACGGAAACAAATGCACACACAGGCAGCGGGGAGGACAGGGGGCGGCCTGTGGACGAGCCGCCGTTTGAGAAGCAAGCTGCCGAGATGGCTCAGGAAGAGTGGTCCAGGGAGAGCGAGTAGCGAGGGTGAAGACCCGAGGCAGACACAGCCCGCGGAGGTTCCGGTGGCTGCAGCTGGGGCGCAACTCGGGCGGAGAGAGGAGATGATGCGGCCAGGGGGTTGGGGGGGCAGCAACTGTAGCTGACCCTAAAGATGGACCAGTGAGATCCCCCACAGCCCCCAGGAGGGACCCACTCACCCTCCAGGGGAACACTAGTGTGTGAGGGACAGACTCCAATATGAAGGGCAGAGCCCAAGACAAACAAGCGGTGGAGGCAGACAGGACGAGCAACTACGCTACCCTAAGAGGGACGAGATGTTCCACTCACAAACGTGCGGACAGGATGGTAGCGACGCTCCTGGAGACTAAAATTATCAAAAACCCAATACAAGCATAATGTTGCGAAGTCTCGCAGAAAACAGTGTGAAAAAGACAAAGAGACGGGAAACTGGAGGGAGAAGAAGACAATTAGAGACCCAACCTGACCCTAAACATAGTATCCAGCACCTCGGATGACACCAAGTCCCGCCCTGGGGCAGTTGCTTACGCCGGGAGCAAAGACAAGAGCCTTCCAGAATCCACAGCAGAAAAACGAAGACGAGATTCACGTACAGCATCGGGGAGCGGGATGGAACCAGATTTCTCAGCGAAGTTGGAAGACGGCGGAAAACGCCTTCATAACTTTAGAGGAAAATGACTTCCAGTCCAGAATTCTCTCACTAATGAATCCACCTCATCAAGCTTAAAGACAGGGGATGGATGCTTTCACACAGAGGAGCTCAAGAGTTCGTCCATCCCTTTCTCGGAAGGCTACTGGAGGAGGTGCTCCGGCTTCACCAGGAAGGAGGCAAAGAAAGACAGGTGCTGGGGTCCCCAGACAGGGTCCTGCCAGGAGAGAGGTAAGTCCCAGCAGGACGCCCCTCCCCTCAAGGCTCCTGGTGATAGGGAAAGCCCAGAGCAGGTGACTCCCAGGCCAAGAACAAAGGTTTGCTTGAGGGCTGTGGGGCTCCATCCCAGGCCTCCTGGCTCAGTGAGGCTGGGGTAGGAGTCAGGAAGCTGCATTCCATCAGGCTCCAGGGGCTGCTGCTGCTGACCTGGTGCAAACTATACAGTGGTCCAGAGAACAACCAGCTCAAACCAGAGCAGGGAGAGATGTTTTGCTCAAGAAGATACAAAGGGCCTAACATCGACTGCGTCCAAACCATACGCAGAAGTCTTGAGATGCATAGAAGGAGGGGAGAGTTTGGTGAGAAGTGAGTGCTGAGTACACAGAATCCAGGCAAACGCAAACAAAACAAAACAAAAACGAGTGCTGATTTCAGGGGAAAACAGAACATTGTGCAAGAAAGGAAAACACTTCTAATCTTCACGGTGTGGATGTAAAAGCGGACGATGTTTCTAGGGCGATCACTGTGGGAACACGACCGCGATTCATCGCTAATTATTCTGTACCCACAGCGGTGCCGGGAGGGTGCACCTGCAAGGAACGGGGAGATGAGGCCTCCTCCCTTTCCCTGGGGGCAGGCAGCGGCTGTCGCCCAGAGCCGTAAGCTGCGGCAACACTAGTTCCTTAGTGAGGGGACACACATCAGCCAGGTGCCAGCTGGAGGCGGTGACCAAGGTGGCTTCCACGTGGGTGTGTGCAGCAGTGTGGCTGCTGTACCCAAACACTTTCAGGGACAAGTGTGGGCAATCTGGGTGCAGATAGAAATGTTTTAAGGATGAGATAAATACAACGAAGAACCCACACACACACCAGGGAAGTGGTGCAAGATAAAATCTTGGAGTAGTAGGATAGAAAGTGTCCAAGAAGCACCAAGGTGCGGTGCCTGGGGTCCCTGGGGACGCTTCCCCAGTTGTCCCGGCTCACCCCAGGCTGAGCAGGGCCAGCGGGGAGCAAGGTCACGCAGGCAGAGAGGACAGGAGCGCAGGAGCCGTGTCTGGGGAGCAGGGAGAGGGCTCCTGCGGCTGCCGAGCAGGCTGGGGGCCTGTGGGGCAGCTGGGCTGGGCTGTGGGCTGCAGGGAAGGGAAGCCGCGGTCCTCCCACTGCACCCTACGCTTTGCTGGGGGAGCCAAGGGGGGTGCTTTCTGGAGAAGCATGCTGTCAGATGTCAGAAACAGAGGCCAGGACGAGGGGAGATGGCCCACTGGACAGGAAGTTCTTGGAGGTCCCATCACATCCTAGGAAAATCCCTTCAGCCCTGCCCTGGCGCCAGATCCCCCTCTGTGGCCACCACCACATTCTCAGCCATGGTCACCCTCAACTGCCAGCTATGTGACGCCAGCAGCTTGGTCAACCTGGGAGCCTCAGCTGATTCAGCGACCAAATGGGGTGCTAACCACCAGCTCACCAAAAGCAGATGATGAAGGCTCTGGCTTTGGGGCTCAGAAACCCAGTCCCACTGCTGATAGCCCATGACCCTGGACAAAGTAACAACTGCTTCTCCAGAAAGCGGAGCTAACTCCTACTCAGAGGCTTGGACTGAGGCTAAGGACCAAACGGCCTGGGGCTCAGCCAGCTAAGTCCCCGCTTGGAACACTCACACCCCATCTCCAGTTAGGATCCAGCTTCCTGCTTACGTGCGTCCTAGGGGGCAGCTGGGGAAACCTCAGGTACCCGGGTCCCTGTCACACACACGGGAGACCCGGATGGAGCTCCTGCCTCCTGGCTCTGGCCTGGCCCAGCCCAGCCATTGTAGGAATTTGGGGGAATTACCTTGGATGGAAGTTCTCCCTTTCTTACAAATAAATATATATATATATATAAAATAGAAGCAAATGCCCACAAGTGCTCTGCCAGTGCCTGGCACCAGGCAAAGGCTCTGGGGGTTACTACTGCCCTTCCACTCCTCCCAGGGGAAGTCACTGTCCCAAACCCCAGCGGGATCTGTGCACCCGAAGGCACCCACGCTGCACCACGTTAGCTGCAGCCCTTCCCAACAAAGCACTCCCCCGGCACGCACAACCCTGCCCAGGAGAGCGCCTGGGTTTCCTTCGGCTCTGCCCCAAAACAACTCATCCCCGACCCCGCTCTATCCCTCAGAGAGGCAGATGGTGCGAGGGGCGGTGCTAGCGGTCACCGTGCTACTGGACGACACCAGTGGCAGGGGGACAGCTCTCCTGGACACATCCACCAGCGACACTGCCACCTAACCTCTCTCTCTCTCCGGTGCCTGCTTCGGCACATGCAACACGGTGAGGTGCACCGGCACCCACTCAGAGCTCTGGATTAGTGAGAGACTCAGGCAGGGGCCTGGCACACAGCCTGCCCTGGATCAATGTTGGCCCTGTCATTTCTCGCATGCCCGGCTGTGCAATCATCAAACGCTGTCACCTGTTTGCGCTGGCTTTGAAGGCCCTGGGCCAGTGACCCCCAGGTGTTCCGGTGAACTGAGTGCAGGTTTGGAGTGAACGGATGACGGAGCAGGCAGAGGGAGGCGTGGACACCCACTCCTACCCACTGCTCTGAGCTGAGCGCCCTGTCTGCCTCCTGCCCAAACCCCGGTGCCACGGCGAGGCTAGGGTCCCTCGGGGTGGGTGCTGCTGTCTGAGATCACACAGCCTAGTAGGCAGGCGCAGGGGACTCCACCCGGTGCCTTTTAAGTCGCTCCGCCAACTCTCTCACAAATCACTGCCTGGGACTCCGGCCTGGAGCAGGAGGGGACCCGACGCGGGACCCGAGCGCACGAGGCCCGCGCGATTCCGCCTAAGGGACCCCGAGGAGGAGGAGGACCGCGCCCCGGCCCGCTGGCCCACCCACCTGGTGCCGCAGGCGCAGGCGGCCGGCGCGGCGGCCAAGCCAGAGGCCGAGGCCCACTCCGAGCGCGGCGCCCAGCAGCACGGCCGGGGCCAAAAGCGCGGGCGCCGGGCGCAGCGCGTTCCGGCTCAGCAGCAGCCGCGCGTCGCTTGCGCACGCCGCCGCCCCGCCGCCGGCCATCGGGGGTACTCAGGCAGCGCGCGCCCCGCATCCCGCCCGCCGCCGTGCGCTGCCCGAGCCCGCCAGCGCGGCGACGCGGGCCCAGGAGCCGGCTGGGCCAGGGCGCGGCGCGCTGGACGCCTTCCCGGCCGGGACCGCCGCTCCTCGGTGCGCTCTCCCGCCTCTAGGCTCCGCGGAGGCGGAGGGAGGAGCCTGGGCCGTCAGCCCAAAACTTGGAGCCGCCCCCGGCCCAGCCCTGCCGGCGCACTGGGCATGCCCGAGAGGCGCCCGTCCCTTCCGGAGGAGACTCCGGGGAGAGGGGGGCGTCCAATGGCCGAGAAGGCGTGGCTCCCATAAGTGGATCGAGCCATTTAGGTCTGCTAAGCATTTAACCCGAGATTTTATGAACTTTCTCAACCTCCTTCTGTGATGAATGCTGTCACCAGCCCGTCCCCATGACCAGGGCCCCTGCGCGTCCAAAGACAGCTCTGACTCCAGCCCAAGCCCCTAACCTCTCCCGCAGACCGACCTTGGCCACAGAGCCGCCACCGCCTGTGCGCCCGCCCGCTCTAATCCCTGGACGGTCCGTGCCCTTCTCTGTAGGTAGACCTCACGGGGGTCCCCACTAGAGCGTGGCCCTCCCACCCCGCGTTGTGGGGAGACTGCAGCGCCCACAGGGACCTGGCCGGCCGCAAGCAGGACAAAGGCCCAGGAACCCGCACCCTGGCCCCCGCAACACGCACCCAGGCTTTGTAGGCGGAGAAATAATTACCTGAGTTCATCTCTTCTCTCCTGGAGGAAAGATTCGCGGAGCAGCTGCCGGATGCCGCCCTTGGCCTGGGCGCAGGGGTGCATCCGGGAACACAGGCACGCGTGCACACACATGCACAAGGCACACAACACACATGCACGCGTGCACACGCACACACACATGCACTTGCACACCCACACTCAGGCACTTGTACACACATGAACATACATGCACACGTACACACGTGCACAATGCACACAAGGGACTGTACACACATGCACAAGCCATGGGTGCATTCATACACACACGCATGCGTGCAAACAATGCCCCCACACACAGGCTCATGTGTTCACTCCTCGGAACTTCACTCCCTGCGAGGGCAGGGCTCCGCGGGATGAGCTGCAGCAGGGAAGTGCACCTGTGGGCTCAGCCTGGCCCTGCTCCAGCCTCCAGGTCATCTCACTCTCTCCTCACCCACCCTTGCAGGCGGGGCAAGACAGCAACTGGGTTCCTAAGCCTTCCTTCTCCCTGGAGACTGGAGGGACCAGGGATCTGACTCCTTCCCCCTGGAGTAGACAGCAACAGACGGAGAGGGAGGAGGGGCTCGCTCCCCTGGGGGGGCGTGTTCCCACCTGTGTGGGTCCCTGCCACCCGAGCACCTCCATGGCCCTGGGACACGTGCAGGGTCGCCACACCTCCGGCTTTCCCGGGCTATTTCTTTGAGTTTTCAGACTTGAAACGCTCGCGAGTCTTTGCATTTCGCATTTCACTTGGTCGTAAAGTTGTTTATTTGAATTTCTCCTGTCACACAGCGGGGAAGGCAGCAAGAGCCCGCACCCACCTCCTCCTGTCTCTTCTTCCTGGCACGGCCGGGGCGGGGGCACCCCGAGCGCCACAACCGCCCAGTGCTCATCCCCATCGCCCGCTCCCGGTCAAGTCCGGACAGGCTGCCCCTAGAAGGGGCTGCTGCCCGGTGCCAGCCCCCGCGGAGGGCTCCAGCGACCGCACGCGTGGCCGCCGGGCGCCTGCGACCCGCGCCAGCCCCCTTCCCTCCCTCCCTTCCCGCCTCCCGCCCAGCGCCGCCAGCCCGGTTCCAGATGCGCCTGTTTGTTCCAAAAAAACTTTCCTTGGCGGCTCGCACTGAGCATGCTCGGCGGCGGGGCGGGCCTGGGGTCCGGAAGCTGGGACGAGTCTCTGGCGCCCGCCGCTTGGGGGTCGCGGGCCCTGATGGGCAATGGGCGCTCGGGGGTTTTGGCCGGGGGCCTCTTGGCCGCGGCCCTGGCGCTGGGGGTCCAGGGCGGGCTCCCCGCCAGCCCGTGTGACCTCGGCTCCCCCTGGGGCGCGCAGCCTCCCCCGGGTGATCTCCGGGCTCCGGGAACTCGGCCGGAGCGGAAGGCGCAGGTAAGTAGGTCCCGCGCCCCGCCCCGGGGTTCACGGGGGCGGCCCGGCTTGGTCTGCACCCTCGCCTGGGAGGGCCCTGTGTGTGGGCCGGAATTCGAGGCTGGGAGGCACGGAACTCGTAGGATGGCCTGGGGTTGCGTAGATGCGTCCCGCGTGTACCTGGAAAACCCAGGAGGCTTCGACCAGGCTCTGTTTGGACAATCTTTCGTCTCTAAAGGAGGCTAAGCAAGCTGGGTGGAAGCTTGGAGGATCAGAAGTCCAGAGAGGCTGAGAGGCTGTGCCAGGGACACACAGCGAGTCCATGCTGCCAGCCAGAGCCCCGCTCTCCTGGCCCGGTCTATGTAAACTCGCAGGATTGGGGGGATTCGAGGCTTGAGGCTTTCCCGCTGTGATTCACGCCCAGGCCTGCCTGGCTCTGAAATGGCAGCTGCTTGGTGCCGGCTCCCTGGAAGACGGCTGCGAGTGTGCCCAGCTGACCCTGGGCCCGGAGGCCGTGTTGGGCGTGAGGTGCAGGTCCTCCCAGTGTGAGTCCTCTGAAAGCTGGAATCCCCCAGTAGTCACGGGCGATGGGTTCCTGGATGCCCCGCGGATGCCCACGCCCCTTGCCTGACATGATGTGGAATTTGGCTGTGAGCCGTGCACATCCTCCTGTGTGCTTTAAATCATCCCCAGGTGACTTGGAGCATTTAGCCCAACGTGAGTGCTGGGGGAAAAGCGAGGAACAAGGGGACCGAGTCCGTACCCGTTCAGCAGACACACTTCTGTCTCGTAGCATTTTCAGTCCACCACTGGGCACGTCGGGGGTCGTGGGGCCGTGGACGTGGGCGCTGCTGCTTTCGTCTGCTTCTGACCCACATGTTCTTCCGTGAATGACTGCGTCTTTCGCCTCTTTAGGACTTGTGCCGCGCGGTTTGGCCCGGCGAGGGAAGCTCTCCCTCGAAGACTGCAGGTGCGTTTTTCTTTTGGTTGACTTTTCGTTGTTCTGACCACAAATGGAACACCAGGGCCCCCTGACACCCTGCCTGCCGGTCCTCGCAGCGTCTCCCTGCCTGGGGCAGGTGGGTCCATCCCTGGCTCCCCGAGCAGCACCAGCCGGAGCTTTCCAGCACACTGCGGAGAGGGTCTGACGTGTGCGGGTCCGCCGGGCACCCCTGCCTGTGGCTGCTCTAACGAGTCGTCACCAGCTTGGTGGCTTCAAGCAACACGCGTTCATCTGTCCCAGCTCTGGGGGCCGGAAGCCCCAGCTCAGGCTCCCCCTCCCAGGGCCAGCGTCCGGGTCCAGTGGGGCTGCACTCCCTGGGGAGACTCCGGGGGAGGAGCTCGCTCGCCGTGCCGTGGCAGCTCCTGCAGCCCTATTCCTTGCATTCCTGTTCATGGCGCCTGCCTGCCCTGCCTTCAGAGCCAGCAGGGTCACATCGCGTCTTGGGGCAGTGCCAGGGCGCCGTCTTCCCTGCCAAGGTCAGTCAAGTCTGTCTCGCTTACAAGGACCCCCATGAGTCCATTCAGGCCCCCGCTGCCTCACCCCAGTGACCGTCCCGACTCTGGACCCTGGCTTAATCACACCTGCTCTGGCCCTGTTGCCGCGGAGTAACGCACACAGGTCGTGGGGTTGGGGCCCGAGTGTCTCTGGGGGCCTTTATGCCGTCAACCACACAGAGCGGAGTTCCACTGCCACTGACTTAACACAAGGCTGCCGATTGGCTCGAGGGTCTGAGCCAGCAGCACCGGGTCCTGGCAGCTCCGCCTCTCCCCTCCCGTCATGGCCTCTCTCTCCTCTGCCCAGCTTCCCCCTCAGGTGCCTTTTCCCCGCGTGGTAGCAGTGGTGTTGCTGGGGCAGTGGTCCCCGGGGGCACAGGAGCCCCACAGCCCACCTTGCAGGTGGAAGCGACTTTTCCCAGGAGCTCAGCTGGGCCCCCTGGCTGTCTCTGTGCTGTCACAGGGGCTGGGGGGTACAGTTTTCTGGGCTCTGTGCCTGCTTTCAGAATCCCAGGGACCAGGAAGGGCTGGGATCCTGGTGGGCCCCTTTCTCTGTAGTGTAGGCGACAGGAGGGGCCTTCCCTGGAGGGAGGGAGCCCCTTTGAGGCTTCCATGGGGCCAGGGGTCCAGGAGGCGCCCGGGGAGGGGCAGCAGCAGGTGCACAGAGCTGAAGGTGGCTGTCACATTTTGTGTCCAGAGAGCCTGCTGACAGGCACCTGTCCGGCAGCCCAAGGGGCCAGGGTGATTTCGCTTCTCGGCAGCACCCATGCAGTGCGTGTCCTCGGACCCTGGTGACTCTGACCCGGTACGGTGCCCCCTGTGTCCCGGCAGGGCCGTGGCTTCCCTGTGTGCATGGTTTACCATGGAGACTGTGACCCCCATCCCAGCTCTGTGAGCGGCACCTCCCAGGGGAGCCAGTCAGGGGAAAAAAAGACTAATTTTACCTGGGACCCAGTTCTGCCTTGTTGTTTCTCCAGTATTTATTGTTTTCCTACATGTAGATTTTTCAAGCACTTTGAAAAGCTTGCTCTCAATAGACTAGGGAACAGACTTTTAAAACTACATTCGTTGTGAACTATACTTTGCATTTAAACATTTTTGAAGATTTATTTGCTTATTTGAATAAGAGTTAGTGAGAGAGAAAGAGAGAGAGAGAGAGAGAGAGAGAGAGAGGTCTTCCATCTGCTGTTTCACTCCCCAAATGGTTGTAACAGCTGGAGCTGGGCCGATCCAAAGCCAGGAGCCGGGAGCTTCATCTAGGGTCTCCCATACAGGTGCAGGGGCCTGAACACTTAGGCCGTCCTCCACTTCTCTTTCAGGTACATTAACAGGGAGCCGGGTCAGAAATGGAGTGGCCGGCACTTGAACTGGTGCTCAAGTGGGATGCCAGCATTGCAGGTGGCCATCTTACCTTGTACGCCACAATGCTGGCCCCAGCATTTAAGTTTGTCTGAAAGGCGGAGAGAGACAGACTGGCTCACCCCAGGTGCCGTGCTACGCGCCTGCCCCAGCAGTCGGTGTGTGAGTGGGAGACACGTGGTGAGGAAGGCTCAGGTGTGTGATCTCTCTCGGTCACCCAGTGGGTACAGCTGCCTTACCTTCAGCATCTGACACCCCTAAGTCAGTCCTTCCACGTACCCGTGTCATTTAGATGGCTCCTCTGACCTCCCTGCCTGGCTGGTTGGCGTTCTGAGCACAGGGCACCCAGCTGCGCTGTCCAGGGTCCCCCAGCTGACCAGCCACGCACAGCACCCACTCAGCAGGACGCCTGAGACACCTGAGAGCAGGCCATACCTTTTCCGCCTTTTTATTTTTGGATTGATTTGTTGATGTGAAAGGCGGCGTTACAGAGAGAGAGGGAGAGATTTTCCATGCACTGGTCCACTTCCCAAATGGCTACAAGGGCCAGTGCTGGCACAGGAGCCAGGAGCTCCATCCGGGTCTCCCACATGGGTGGCAGAGACCCAAGCAGTGGGACCATCCTCTGCTGCTTTCCCAGACGCGTTAGGTGGATTGGAAGTGGAGGGGCCAGGACTCGAGCTGCACTCATACGGGATGCTGGTGTCACAGGCACCACTGTGCTGCAGATACAGCTGCTGCCCAGGGTCTTCTCAGGGACGCGTCTGAGCTGTCCACGTGCTGCTGGGAATTTGCCGAATGTGTTGGCAGAGGGCACATTGTCCTGGGAGCTGTCGCGTAGGAAGGCCTGGTGGGGGTGGGGGTGGCGGCGTTTGTGCTTGGCGGCTCTGTGGCCCCCCTGTGACAGCCGTCAGCCTCCCCACAGCGGCAGGTGCTCAGAGGCATCCCCTGAAACAAGACGTCCTCCTTCCTCTTCAGCCGTCTGACGTCATCTGCTTTGTGTTACTGTAACAGTGCCGGGCTGGTACTCCACAAAGCAAAGAGGTTTGTTCCGCTGCAGGTGGAGGCCCCTCCCCTGAGCGACCACAGCTCTGCCGCTGGGCTCAGGTGGCAGGAGCGAGCTACTGTGTCGAGTAGCCTCACTGCGTATCATGGTGCACTTCTGCGGGAGCTGCTGCACTCCCACACAAGCCCAGCACTCGCCCCTCAGGAGGGTGGTCCCCCGCGCCCCCGCCACCTCCCCCCAGGGTCCTGCTGCAGAAGCCCCCAGCACCCAAACCTTTGGGTGAACGGCTATGCCCAAACCACGGTAGTTATGGAGATCGAGGTGCAGAGAGGTTAGGTGCCTCGGCCAAGGGCTCCCAGCGGGTGAGCGGCACAGCCAGGCTTTGAATCCAGGGCTGTCGGAGTCCGTGTGTAGAAGACTCGCCCATTAGCCACTTTGCCAGTGCTTCTGGGTCCCAGCTGGGGCACACAGGGGGATGTGCACATTAGCACTTGACCTAGACCGAGAGACCTCACTTTGAGAAGTACTTGTCCTAAGCTTTGAGTTTCCTGTATGCAGCGTGCCTCATTTTCCTGGCAAAGTTGAGATGGTGTTGTCCATCTGTCCACGCATCCACCCATCTGTCTGTCCATCCCCTCATTAACTTACTGAGCACACACTTCCCAGCGCCTTTTGTACACCGCGTAGTCCTCCTGGGTTCAGTCGCCGCGTCTTACCCGTCTGCAGCCCTGATGCGGATGCGTTGCTGTTCCGTAGCAGAAGCACCTGTCGGCGTGAGAGTCACCGAGCAAGCGGAGGTCTTCAACCCGCTCCCGACTTCGGCAGCCTCCCCTGGACCCTGGGCTCATTCCTTACTGGCTTTCTTGCCTTCCTGGCCTAGGAAGACCTTCTTGAAAACAGAGTCCCCCGTAACACACCGCCTGGTAAGTGACAAGTCGACAGTTGACTGTGCTTAGCAGAAGTTGGAGAGAAGCGCATTTTGAGCCAACTGTGTACAAAAATGTCACAGGCGTTGTTCTTCAAGAAGGCCGGCTCCTTCTCTCTCGGTAAATGCAGGGCTGTTTTACGGATGCACAGGGTTTAGGAGAACAGGAGGCTGGGATCTGAGCAGGAGGCAGCTGCTGCCGAGACCTGGCCTGGTGTGTGCCTGGCCCAGCGTGGTTCACTCCTGGCTGGTACTGCTGGCCCCTTGGCAGGGAGCACGCACACAGGCCGACCACACGTCACTGTGTGTGTGCAGAATCTCACTCAAGCCGTATTGCAAGTGTCCTGAACAAGTAGTATTCTGATTCTCATCTCACAGATGGGAAGTCCAAGGGGAGACTCAGAAACTGCTTCTGGGACCCACAGGTAAAAAGGAGGGCCGGAGCTGTGGCCTAGTAGGCTAAGCATCCAGCTCTGGCGCTGGCATCCCAGTGGGTGCCAGTTCTAGTCCTGGCTGCTCCACTTCCCATCCAGCTCTCTGTTATGGCCTAGGAAAGCAGTGGAAGACGGCCTAAGCCCTTGGGTCCCTGCACCCACGTGGGAAACCTGGAAGAAGCTCCTGGCTCCTGGCTTCGGATCTGCACAGCTCCAGCCATTGCAGTCACCTGGGGAGTGAACCAGCAGATGGAAGACTCTCTCTCTCTCTGCCTCTCTGTAACTCTGCCTTTCAAATAAATAAATAAATCTTTAAAAAAAAGAGAAAGGTAGACGTGACAGAGCCAAGTCTACTCCATGCTTTTGCTGGGTTTTAAGACGGATTTTCGATTTCTCTATTTATTTGCAAGGCAGAGTGACACAGGGCGAGAGAGGAAGACAGAAAGAGAGGTAAAGAGAGAGCAGTCTCTCATCCATTGATTCACTACCCCAGTGCACACAACGGCTGGGCTGGGCCAGGCCAAGCCTAGAGCTTTGAGCTCCATCCTGGTCTCCCGTGGGGGTGGCCGGGCTCCCCGCGCCTCGGCCATCATGTGCTGCCCTTCCAGGAGCCTTGGCTAGGAGCTGGCCTGGAGCAGGGGAGCCGGGACTGAGCCAGCGCTCCGTGGTGGGGTGCGGGTGTTCCGAGCGGTGGCTGAGCCTCCGCACCGCGACACCACCCTGCTGCTGGTTCATATGCCGTCGCACGTGTCGGCTCCACAAGTGACCATCTTTCCACGTAAGGTTTCATTATCTTTTAATTTTTAACTTTTTATGTGGTTGTTTTTACTTGAAAGGCAGACAGACACACAGAAACCTAAAGGCAGGGAGAGAGCTGTCATCTGCTGGGCACCCCCCCCCCGACATGCCCACCCAGCTGGGGCTGGGCCAGGCTGCCCCAGGAACGGGGACTTGATCCCGATCCCCCGTGAGCGACAGGTCTCCACATTCTTGTGCCATCGTGGGCGGCTTCCCAGCGTGCATTAGCAGGATCGGGGGCAGAGCCAGCCCTGGAGCCCAGGCGCTCGGATGCGGGATGCTGGTGTCCCACACGATGTCTCAACCATTAGGCCCGATGCCTGCCGCTGTTTAATAATTTCCAGGGGTACGAGAGCCACTGAGCTCAGCCACGAGCAGTCAGCGCAGACTGGGAGGCCGAGACCAGTGGAAACGCCTTCTGTCTGTGTCCTGGAGGCCGGGGGCCACCATCACGGTCCTTCCAGTGTAGGCTGCCCAGTCGGTCTTTCCAGCGCATGGCGGCCCCTGAGTTCCTTGGCTGCGCCCTGCAGCTTCTGCCTCCATCTTCACACGGCCTCCTCCGTGTCTGTCCCCTCCTCTCCACCCTTCATGGCAGTGCTTGTCACTGGCTTTGGGGCCACCTTTAGGGCCCACAGGGATCCAATCTTGAGACCCTTTGCATCTTCTAAGACCCCTTTTCCAAACAAGGTCACGTTCACAGGTTCTGGGAGGCAGGGTGTGGACATAGCTTCTGGGGCCAGCGCCCCACCCCCTGGTGGTCATCGCTGCTCTTTCAGCCCTTCTGGGCAGCAGGTGGCAGTGCCCCCAAGCCCCCAGTGCCCCTGCCTGCCGTGACTTGTGCAACAAGCCATGTTTATCACGGATGTAATAGGGTGGGGAGAACAGAAGCCGGTATTCTGCGAGTGCCCTGGTGGGTCAGAGAGGCAGCAGGGTGTGGTGGGCGAGAAGCCGGCCACAGCCAGGGGCCTGCATTGGGCTTGCCCCGCATGCTGTGGCTCTGTTCCCTCTTCACATTGTCGTCCGTGTCCTGCAGGATGAGCGGGAGGTACCCTGGAGAGGGGATGCGTATGGGGGGAGGGGTGTAGGATTTGGAGTCACGTTTGCCTGGGAGGAGTCCCTTGGGCAGTTGGGTCAACCTTGTTGAGCCCTAGTGTCCACGCCTGTGTGAGGGGATGGCCAGAACTCACACGTGCAAGGAGGGGACAGTGCCTAGAGCTGGGTGGATGATGGCCGCTGCTGTGGTGAATGGCACGGAGCACAGCTCAGCCCCCTGCAGGTGACAGGTGCACAAGGCGGAGAGCAGGAGGGGTGTGGCCGTCCTTGCAGAGAGAGCCAAGCGCAACGCCCTCCTCAGGGCCAGTCTGGTTTCTGGCGTGTGTCTCTCCACCTTGGGGGTCGGGGTTGCAGGGGTGCCGTGAGCAGAGCCCGGTGGCAGCGAGTGGCTTGTGTTTGCTGCGTGAGCCCGGGCTTCCCTTCCGTACCTTCTCACGGAGCCACGCAGGGTTCTGTTTGCAGAGGGTGGACCCTGTCCACAGGCTGCCCAGCGCTGCGTCAGCTCACGCCGGGGATCACGCCCCAGGCTACGTGTTCCCTGTCGTCACATGGCAGGACCGTGCCTCACAGTCCGTGTCAGCCCTCGTGATGCGGTCTTCCTGGGGTCCTGCTCAGGTTGCTGGGCTGGCGCTGGCCATGGGGAGCCGAGTCCCCGGGGCAGCAGACGCCCCCCTGTGCAGTCTCGCATCTGCGCTCTTTCTGCGCAGGTTTGAATTTCTGACACTGTAACGCTCTCTAAGAAAAACCCTCCCAGGTGCCCGAGAGCGGATTGCCAGCAGCCATCCGTCCGCCCTGTGTCACGGAGGCCCTCGTCTGGTCTCTTTATTAAATGTGTGTGGCACGGACTGTTTCCCACCTCTGACGCCCTGTGTGTTGTCTTGCAGTCCGGGGACGTTCCAAGAGAAGCGCTTGGGGCTTCGCACAGCGGAATCGTGTTTCGGAAGTGCGCCCTGGTGAGTGCAGAAGGCGCTGGTACTTGGAGAGACACTGATTTTGTCCAGGTCGTGTGGAGAGGAGCAGGTGTGTGAGGGCTGGCAAATCGGGGCTTCTCTGCCCGTGTCCCACCTGCGAGTGACAGAGGCCTCGTGGCGTGGGCTCTGCTCCCTTCTCTGGAATGATTAGGACTGAGGTTTTCCTTCTGTCGTCATTAAATCGTTAGTAGTGAGAATCCATGGTGACCGTGCAGAGTGGCAAGGAAGCGCTGACCACTTTTAAGCATTGCTAGGACACCTGTAAGTTCTTAAAGATTAATTTTATTTATTTGAAAGAGTTATGGGGCAGGAGGGGAGAGAGACAGAGAGAGAGATCTTCCATCCACTGGTTTACTTCCCAAATAGCTGAAATGGCCGAGCCTGGGCCAGGCCTAAGGCAGGAGCCAGGAGCTTCATCCGGGTCTCCCACGTGGGTGGCAGGGACCAAGCACTCTGGCCATCCTTTGCTGCTCTCCTAGGGAGCTGAATCAGAAGTGGAGCAGCCGGGACTTGAACCAGTGACCACATGGGAGGCTGGCACTGCAGATGGCGGCTTTACCTGCTGCCCCACAGCGCTGGCCCCCGATGAAGTCTCAGCACCTCTGTGTGACCCCGATGTCCTCCCTGCTCCTTCCTTCGCCTCCTGTCCTAGGTGTCCGGGCAGAGTGACCGGCAGACCGTGCAGGTGCGGCTGCTGGTGGACAACACCAAGACGCCCTCGTCGGCCAACCTCTCAGACCTGCTCCTGCTGGACAACATCACCGGCCTCACCATCAGGGAGTCGGCCGGGAACAAGACCTCGGACGGGTTCCAGGCTTTCCGGAAGAAGTTTCTAGAAGGTTCGAGCAGAGCGTCAGCGTGTTGGGGCTGGAGGTGATGGGTGCTGTGGGCGGGCAGGGTCTAAGTGTGCACATCCATGTGGTCAGTCCCCACGGTGGGCCTCGCCGTCGCTGTCACCATCGCTCAGCCACATGAGGAGTGTGTTGGGGTTGGGATGGACAGAAGGCAGATGGCCAGGCGTGCACAGGCGTGCCCAGTGGGATGGCTGTGTGCCCGTGGGGCGCCACCCCTGTGCTCAGCTGTGCTTGGCTGATGAAGCAGCACTGGGGCCCAGGAGTTGCTGTGGCGTCCCTGGTGGGATGCAGACCTGTTGTCTTCCTCTGGGTCCCTCATTACAGAGGGAGAGACAGACTGACGGGCTGGAGAGACTTGGCCAAGGCTGTAGGCTGAGCCTCACAACGCCCAGGCTGGCCCCATCTGCCCCAGCGCCTCTCCCTCCTGAAGCCCCTCCTGCCCTGTGCTCACGGCCCCTTAGCTCCTCCTCCTCCTCTGTCCCTCTGAGCCGAGTTGCCTCAGAGTCCTTCTTAACACGATCCGATGGACAGGAGCCACCAGTGGAGCCGAACCTCACGTGGTAACCTTGCTGGCTCCGGTTTGAGAGGTGCCTGAAATGCACCGTGCTGTGTCCCAGCAGGAAGCGCAGGCCCTGCCTCCCTCCCACCGCAGTTCTGAAGCCGTGTGCAGAGACCGGCGCACGGGGTTCCAGGCAGCTCACAGAGTCGGGCTCAGGCGGACCTGGGATGACACCCGGCCCGGCTGCTTTACCAGCTGGTGGTCCCCAGGAGGTCCCCGGGTCCCCATGACCTTGACCTGCCCAGCAGCGCTCGGCGTGGAGGTGGCGTTGAGACCACAGTGCCTGCCTCCCTCGTCCGAGTCGCCCAGGGGTTTGTATTCTGCCTGATGCCACCAGGCCTGCCCGGCCCCTGGCTCCCTGCTCCCTGTACCTGCTCCTGCTCCTGTTTCAGCATTCCCCTCCCATCGGAATGCTCAAATCTTCTCACATCTTTGGGGCCCAGCCCTGGCACCCCCTTTTCCAGGAAGCCCTGCCTCAACCCGGCCCCCGCCCGCCCCCGTAGTCACCACATGTGTGGAAAGTGCTGACGGCAGAGGGAATGGCCCCAAAGTCACACGCCTCCTTCCCACCCCCTGCAGAGACACACCTGCCCCTGCCCATACTTAGTGCCTCCCACGCATGGTCACCCCAGATTCTGCTGGGGTGCCTCTGAACCTCGGCTCCTCATCCCCGCGCTGAGCGTGGGGTTCAGGGTGACCCCGTGGAGCCACGGAGAGAGTAGGGATGTCAGCCATGATGGGCGTGAACGCCATGAATGCCTGTGGGACACGCCCCTGGCGCGAGTCATATTTAGTTGTCGTCCTTCTGCTGTCGCCACCTTCTTCTATTTGTGCCCACACCTTAGCTCTGCTGTGAAACGAATCACGTTTACCCGTGACCTCCGTCTGTGACAAGGAGTGTGACATTGATTTGCAACTTCAGGGCGGCTGACTTTGGCCCCCCCAAAGAGGGAGCAGGTAGAAACCATCAGACCCCAGTTCACTCACACCCTGGCCGCCTCCTCCTCGTGACTATGTCCCTGCCTTAGAGCCGATGTCATTTAGGCAACAGGTGGCAGGATAGGAGGGTGAGGGGGCTACCGCCTTGTGCTCTTGGTGACGTCAAGCACGTCAAATCCCCCGTCTCAGCCGCTGCCCCTGCAGGAAGCGCCGTGTTGTCCCCTCCTCAGCCCTGTCTGGGCCCCCGCTGGGTTAAGGCAGGGGGAGGGCCTGGGCAGAGGTGAAGCCGCTGCCCCAGGGAGCCGGGACTGCGCCTTTCTCCCCTCGCCTGCGTCATCTGCGTCGTCGTGTCTGGGGAAGGCTGGGGGTTTTCAAAACAGAAAAACATGCAGTTCCCGGGACCCTCACTGCTTCCTGCTTTCGTCCTTACAAAGTTGCAGTCTGCACACGGAGAAGTGCAGTGCACGGTGGTGGTGTGGTAGGGCATGTGCAGCCCTGTGGGAGGGCAAGGCAAGGCTGGGGGACAGGCTTCGTGGAGAGCAGTGCCCGGCACAGCCAGGTGGGCTGTGTCACCTGTCCCCCCGGGCGGAGGAGCCCTGTGGTCTTGCTTCCTGGGCAGGCAGGAAGGGCCAGTCAGAGTGATGGCTCCTTGGGCTGGGGGCGGCCTGTCCTGTTTGGGGAGGGGACCAGCTCACAAGGGGGCCATAGCAGGAGCAGGGAGGGAGAGGGGGAGCAGGTGTGCCCCACTGTTTGATCGTCCCCAGGCAGGTGAGATCCCAAGGCAGGAGCTGAGCCTGAGCTGGGGCACAGCTATTGGGGGCGGGGCTGCGCGGGGCATGGACAGGGCGTGGCCAGCTCCTCCCTCACACCTTCACCTCTCTCTGGGCAGTCGGAGACTCCTACTGGGTCAGCTACACGGCCTCGATGGACGCCAGAGCCCTGGGGACTGGAAACAGCCTGACGCTTCCTGCCCAGCTCACCTTTCGGAGCTGGTCGCTGGTACTTCCTTTCTCTCTGTTGTGGTTGTTTTAAAGATGTGTTGATTTATTGCCCACTGGAAAGGCAGAGCAGCCGAGAAGGATGGGGAGACAGGGAGTCATTCCCCCGACTGGTCCACTCCCCCAGTGGCCAAACAGCCACGACTGGGCCAAGCTCCCTGGGCTCCCGGCCCCAAGTCCCAAGGCCAGGTCATGTACGGTGATAACCTGGGGGTGAGCGTCCCTAATCGGAAACCGGAAATGCTCCAGCGTGAGCCTGCAGGTGGACAGTTCCACGCGTGACCTCACGCGCTGGCTGCGGTGAAAACACAGGTGTGCCCACGCTGCTGCAGGAAGTTCCTCTCCTCAGGGTGTGTGCACACGGGGTTCGTGAAGATAATCAGGTCTGGGTTCCGTGCCCAGGTATCCCATCAGTCCGTGCGGCCATTCTAAAAATCTGGACCAATTTGAAACCCAAAACGTTTGGGATCCCAGGCGTTCTGGACAAGGGACCCCCACCCCGCCTTCCTGCTGGTCCGGGGACTGCCCCCATGACTGCTGAGGGCACTGGGCATTTCCCACACTCCCTGTGAGCCGGGCAGGCCACTGGGTTCTGGGTCAACCCACTTAATCCCCACAGCAGCCCTACAAGTTGAATAGGATGCCCGAGGCACAGGAGGTCACTCCCATGGCCAAGGTCAGGCCGCCGGATGATCCCAGAAGTCTGGCTCTGCTCGCTGTCCTGTCCTGCGAGGTGCTTGGCCTCTAGGCCAGGAGGAAGCATGGCCTACGTGGGCCGCCTCAGACGCCACGCGTGGACAGTCAGATAGCCCTCAGCCCTCAGCCTTCCCATTCCCACGGGCCGTGGCTCCTGGGCAGGGGAGTGGCAGAAGGGGCGGTGTTGGCAGCAGGCCTGTTAGGAGATGGGGCTCAGCAGTGGAGTGTGTTAGAGGGAGGGGTGGACGTGGTCCCCACCTGGCAGGCAGTGGGTGCTCAGAGCTCAGGGGCGACCGCTCCGGGTCACTCGGCACAGGGTGGCCCCGCTGTGGGTGAGCCTGCGACCCCGGGCCCGCCTCTCCCCGCTGCTGGCATTGCACCACGGAGGCCGGTGCTTGGGTTTCCCGCTGGAGGACTTTGAGCCCCGGCACACCGAGCCCACCTGGCTGCCAGGAGCCGGCGGTGACGTCAGGTGTTGGGATGGGGCAGCTGGCATTCCCCCACGGGTCAGGCCCCACAGCCACTCACCATGGTGCTCTCTCTCTTCCTTTTCTAGAACAGCTCACAGCTCAAAGCCCACTTCACCATCACAGTAGAAGAAAAGGTCACGGTAAGAGGGAACCCGGGACCGAGCACCCTCCCCCGCCTGTGCGTCACCTGGGTTGTGTCGGGCTCGTGCCCGAGCTCACAGCCAGATGTGTGCTGATGCTGGGGACTCTGTGGTCCCACCCGTCCTCCCCGTGTGGCCGGGCTGTTTGGCCACTTCCCCCCACGACCCTCAGTCTGAGCAGGCTGGTTGGTCACTGCCGGGCCAGGCCGAGGCTCCTCCTGGCCATCTGCGTGGGTGGCCACCGTGTCCTTGCCTGTCCCCCCGTGTCCAGCGGCTGGGGATGTTTTGCTGTCGCGTGCATGCGTGTTCGAGCGCTCGCTCCCTGCGTGTTTGGGTCGGGGCTCTCCGCAGAGGTGCAGGCTGTTTGGATCTGTGCGGACGCTTCCTAAAGGATGTGGGAAATGCAGTGGAGTTGTAGGTTTCTTTCGGTGGAGACGTTCCTGGAAGCCAGGCGTGGCTTTTTTCCCGACACCCATAGCCATGAACTTGTTCCTCTGAGAGAGGAGCTCTCGGGAGAATTGGCTCTCGTGATGAGACCGGCTGGGAAGTCCCCCGGTCGCCGTCTGCAGACCGGTGCCAGGCTCCATCCGACTCCGAAGCCTCAGGATTGGGGAAGCTGACAACGTAGCTCTCAGTCCACGGCTGACGGCCCGAGAACCCCAAGTGTGGTCCTCGTGCCGGCCCTGGAGCCCGAGGTCAGAGCCTGGGCGTCTGATGTCCAGGAGGAGGAAGTGGAGGGCGTCCCTGCTCCAGGCTTTTGCTCTGTGTCTCTTCTGCCCAGTCCCCAACCTGCTGCCTGCCCACCTGGAAGATGGAGCCCCCTCCTCAGCCCTCTGGGACGAGCCCGCTAGCCACCTCCCAGGCCCGTGCCCCTGAACGTAAACCGTCACCCTGTGGGACGCTTCAGGCTTTCAGCACCTGCCGAGTGCCAGCTGAGCAGCACCCAATCCTGTCTTTCCCCCGCAATCTTGTGTCCTAAATCTCTCCCATTTCACGGACAGGGAAGTCGAGGTATGCAGAGGTCGATTAGTGCACCCCAGGTCCCATGGCTAGAATGTCAGAGTCCCTTGGGGCAACTCTAAGCACTTACAAGAGGCTGGGGTCCTGGCCATGACTCCCGGCAGCAAAAGGACACAAGACAGCAAAGAGAAGAGGCACAGGGGTGACGTCTGGAACAGAGCAGCCACGTGGCCTCCCAGCAGGTGCACCCCATGCTCCAGCCGGGGGCTGTGACAGCTCACGCCCCGTGTTGCCTGCCAGGACAGCTCCTTAGGACCCAGTGCCAGGGTTTTTATTGGGGCACCCCCCTGCCTGGCACATCCCAAGGCCCCAGACTCCCAGAAGGAGCACAGAGGTGGAGCACAGAGCACACTGCCTACGCAAACTGCAGAGGCCTGCAGAGCCCTCTCCTCTGTGGGGGATGGGCGTTTTCCCACATCCATGCACTCGGGGACAGGCCCGCCCGAGGCTGGTGGTGTCCCACGCCTGGCGTCCAGGTGGCTGGTGGGTGACGGAGCTGGCGTTTGAGCCCAGAGGTTTGGCTGCGAAGCCCTGCCAGTCCCACAGCATCTCCCGGCGAGCCAGGCTCCTGCACGAGAGAGGCTGGCCCTTACTGAGCACGGTTTAGTGAGGCAGTCGGGGACCTGGGAGAGCAGGTCCCCATGTGGGCCCGGGAGCTCACAGCAGGTGGGGCCGTGTCTGGCACAGCCTGTGTCCCCCACCGAGCCTGGCCCTGCAGGTGGCGCTCAGCGGGTGCCGTCCTGTGATTGAGTCGATGGTCATCAGTGAGGACGATGGCCACTTGGGAGGAGGTGACTGGCGCTGCCCGATTGAGGTGTGTGGGCTCCGTGCGAGCCCCTCCCCCATGCCGTGCAGCGGGACGGGCCTTGCCCAGCACGTGGGGCTGTCTCTCTCCCACATGTCCCCCTCAGGAGATAAGGAAGCGGTTCCCTGCAGGATGCAGACCCCCGGTGCGAGGCTTGGCGGTGGGGCTGGGCCTGGTGCTCTCAGGCTGTGGCCCGTGTTCCAGGGCCTCTGTGGAGTGGAGGGATGAGGGGCGTGCACTGGGGCAGCCCCCAGTGTCCTGGGCAGCGCACATAGGAAGCCTGGCTTTGACTTCCCGTCCCTGTGCTGACTGTGTGTGGCTCAGGCCCGGTCCCCTTCTGGACTGGGAATCCTGGGGGGTCCACTTCCTGGGGTGAGCTGCTGCACGGAGACCACTCGGCACAGTGCCTGGCTCCTCAGGGCTCCGTCTGTCCTCACCACATGTCCACCCGCTCATGGAAATAGCTGGGCCAGCTGTTCTGACATGATCGGGCGTGGACCATCTGCAGCAGGGTCTTGCTGAATGCTGTGGGTGCGGGGGTGCTACAAGAATGTGTCAGGACCAGTACAGGACCCCAGGGAGCAGTGGTGTCGGCAGGCCTGGGGTCCCAGATCTCCCCTTACCCCAGCATCCTCTGCCTCACATTGAGGCATTGAGAGAGAGAGCGCGAGCGCAGATAGTGTGCAGCCATAGCCGTGACCTGAACTGTGGATTGTGTGCACTGTGGATCCTGATAGGAGAGAGCTTGCAGGGGCTAGGGGGGCTGGCAGAGTTCCTGGAGGAGGGAGAGTTCAGTTGGGCTTTAAAGATAAGAATTAAAAGTAGGGGAGGGGTATCCTAAAATAGGCAGCTGATGACCCGACTTCAGTGCTGGGCCAGGGTGGACTCAGTCTGCGGGTGCTCTGCTGGGGCTGACGCGTGCATCTGCAGTGGTGACGCAACCAAGCCGGCCAAGTGCGATGGTGAAAAACAGGACGGGCTGGCCAGGGAGGGAGCAGCTCCCGACATTGCCGTCAAGCAGTTAACAGATGCAGAGCAAAGCCGTCATATAAACTGGGAACCGGCCATGCTTGGCCGTGCCTGGCCACAGCCCCACCGGCTCCCTGGTTTCCTGCTACTTTCTGGATGGGAAATGGACACACATCGGCCACAGAGAATGAACCCCAAGAAACTGCTTCCCGTTGCATCTCAAGAAGTCTTTTTCTTTCTGACTCCCCAGTGAGTGAGGTCTCTAAGAGGAACGGTACCCCGGGTGCCCATCTCGGGCTGTGCCAGGCCTCACGTGCTCCCTCTTGTGGTGCCCAGGAGGGGCTGGGGGCAGGGCACAGTGCCTGGCGCAGGGGGAGTAGGGTGCTGGGGGCTGAGACGTTCGGGCCGATTACTGTGATTGCCAAGTTCATTTAGAGCCCTGGTCCCAGAGTGATTCCCATGGGGCCGCACACTTACGAAAATGCACACTTACGAAACTAAGATTTGGGGATGAGGAGTAACGTGGGGAGATTTGCCCTGGCGGATGAGGCAGATAGCAAAGCGGTGTTTTTATTGAAGGGAGAAGAATGCATCATGCGTGGACTTAGCTGCTGCCGACTGGGTCATTTGGAAGAAAAGCACAGAGAAGCTACCTGATGGACATGGACATTCACAGGTTGTTGCAGTGACACGGGCCACTGTTATACGACCTCAAACAAACAAACAAACAAACACACACGGACCTGAGCAGACAGATAGTTGGAAGCCTAACGATTCAAAGCAGCCGCAGGAGAGCGACATGAGAAACCGGAAGTATTTGTAACGTGCAGGAAAGACAGACGATTGATGTCTTTACCACGAACAGAGCGTTTATCATCAGTGACAGAAAGAACACTCTAATAGCTGACTGTTTGCAAGCCGAGGCTTCCCCCACGACAGGTCTGTGGGCAGTGCCTTGGAGCAGGTGCAGGGAGTGTGTGACCTCGCTGACAAAGTCCTGTGGCTTTGAGCTGCATTCAGCGGCTGGGGGCGAACAGGCCGTCGAGTGTGGTCACTCCCGCCTTCCCTCTGCCACACTGTTTCCGAGCCCCACTGTGGTGCCTGTCATCTCTTGTCTGGATGACGGCCCAGCCTCCCCTCTGCCCTCCCTGCCTCCAGCCCTGCTCCCCGCCAGCCCAGCGTCTCCCGGACACACACGCCAGGCTGTGCTGTGTTCTCCACGGGCTCACCACTTCCTGTGCTACTCAGTCCCTGGGTTTTCTGCATCACTTTGGTTATGCACCTGCTGTTCTTTCCTTACCTGTCCTTGGGGCAACATCCACAGACCCTGGCCCCCTCCCCACCTTTGTGATCCCCTGGCTCCCCTGGGCAGTTGGCTGCACCTTTTGCTGGGCTCCTGAACCATTGGGGTGCCTGTCACACCTGTCACCGTGTGTCCCTGAGATTGGCACATAACAGGAGGGTCTTCAGAAGGGAATGTGGATGCATGGATATCAGTTGATTTCACCCAAGTAAATTTATCTTTTAATTATATTTCCCTTGGTCGGCGCCGCGGCTCACTAGGCTAATCCTCCGCCTTGCGGCGCCAGCACACCGGGTTCTAGTCCTGGTCGGGGCGCCAGATTCTGTCCCGGTTGCCCCTCTTCCAGGCCAGCTCTCTGCTGTGGCCAGGGAGTGCAGTGGAGGATGGCCCAAGTGCTTGGGCCCTGCACCCCATGGGAGACCAGGATAAGTACCTGGCTCCTGCCATCGGATCAGCACTGCGCGCTGGCCGTGGCAGCCATTGGAGGGTGAACCAATGGCAAAAGGAAGACCTTTCTGTCTCTCTCTCTCACTGTCCACTCTGCCTGTCAAAAAAAATTATATTTCCCTTGAATTTTTTGAAATCTCTTTTTCATCTTCATAGAATTTTTTTCCCTGGAGGTGACCCCACAGAGGGTCTGTTCTGGTCTGTTTTAGAGAACACGTGGAGGCGGCGTGGCCCCAGGAGCTGGCCGTGGTCCTGAAGCCCAGTGGGGGGCCCCCCCTTGCGGGTGGGAGTCCCGTGGAGCAGCTGTTCCCTAATGCAGATGTCACTCATGGTTGGTGGCTGGGCACAGTGATGTGGGCGGGTGTGATGTGCCCATCTGTGCCTCGCTCTCACCAGGACTGTCACTGGGAGGCCTAGGGTCTGCCTTCAGGGCTGCCCCTCGAGCTCTGTGGGACA